AGGAGGAGAAGAAGTCCTAGCCAGCTCTGTATATATCAGTACAAGGAAATAGGGTCAGACTCAGTCAAAATGGAGATAATTGTTCTTCTTTCAAGGAGAGCGGCTCAGGTGGTCCTCCATAATTTCAAATATGTCTACCTTCCTTCCTTCCTCTCTTCCTTCCTTCCTTCCTTCATGCTTGCCTGCATGTACTGCATTTTAGGTATGCTCTGAAAGAATACAACACTGTCGTATTTGTTCCGCCCTGCTGGTTTACTATAAATTTTTGATAGTTGTGGTAATGTCTTAGGTTTATAGCTTTAAGATCATCCAAGACTTCTATGTATAAGTAACTTAGAAGGGAGTGCTAATAATTCACTTCTTCAAGGCTAATTCATTTCTCCACGCGCTCATGACTCTCTGTCACCATCTAATGACCATTTATACATATTGCAGGGCCAGTTCCTGCTAAACCGAAAGCATCAAATTATCCTGAAGTTACAGCTTTGTGTTTGCATACCAGCCCCACAGAAGAGATTGGACCTTATTATCTGCAAATAGGCAAAACAGGAAGCTTTATAGCTAGGCCTATGACCATGTGAGAAATATGTCAGATTACTAAACTGTGGAGGACTGGAAGAAATCTTTATTTTTGTGTGGAGAAAAGCAGTGGGGGAGGGGGCTGCATCACTTACATTAGGCCCCAAGGAGCCTCCAGCACTGGAGGGGCGAGCACTCTGTGCATGGGCATCTGCTTGACTGAATGCCAGGATGTGAGGCTCCATGCTGGTGGGGAGAAATGTCACTGAACAGGATTAGATCTGCACTGTTCATTCGGACTCACTGGGGCAGCATCCCCACCCCAGCCCAGAATCATCTGGTGATTACAGTGTTTTGTCACACCTGCGGCAGTGCTACCTGCATCTAGTGACTAGATGGCCAGAGACGCTGTTAAACACCTTATATTTCTAAGGCAAAGGGCAATTCCAACACAAAGAACTATCCAGCTTCAATGTCAACCGTGTTGAGGGTGGGACACTCTGTGGCCAAGCCTAGAGCACAGAATAGACCAGCAGTTCTCTCTGCCTCTAGTGTTGACCTGGGTATCAACACTAGACACCCGACCCTGGACAGTGCATCACTGTCTCCACCAGAGGAGAAACAAAAGGGATATTGACGGTTTCTTACAAATGCATCTCACTAGGGAGCCACAAACAAATAACATGTTTATTCTCAGCTGAGTGTGGATCAACCTCCAAGCACTCCAGTTTCCTTTAGTTTACTTGATAATGTGACTTACAGGCTCCCATCTACTCCAGTCTCTTTGGTGACATGACGTGGGGCATTGTGCTTACTGTGTGCTTTTGATGTACAGTTTCCTTTAGTGTCCTCAACTTCACTGACGTCCCACAAAACTCTTGGACTACCTGTGCGGACGCAGCTGCAGGCGCATCTTCGGACCTCATATACCAACTCTGAGTCCTAGCTGAATCTGGCCCAAGAATCTGCATGTAAGCCAGAATCCTGGGTGATTTTTGATACACTCACGTTAAAGCTTGACAGAGGATATATAAAGTAATAGCAACACAGTGCTCCTTCTTCTTTTAAAGGACATTTGTACAATGGTTGGGAAAGTGCAGCGGATTCTCAGGATATGCTTTGAATGTACTGAGTTGATTTCCATTTTATTTTATTTTTTTATTTTTTTTAATTTTTATTTATTACATGTATTTATTGTGTGTGTGTGTGGCCAGCTCAGCCCACCAGGGGGCGGGGCTGGCTGGCATGTGGTGCTGGGGGATCGAACTGCAGTCCCTGTGCTTTGCCAAGCTTGTTTCAAGTAGGTGCTTTAGACCACTGAGCCATCTCTCCAGCCCCTGATTTCCATTTTAGAGATTATGAAGTGAAGGCACCAAAAGATGAAACAGATCACTCTTAGGAATCACTGGTTTTTTCTTACCATGTGGCCTTCCCTCATCACTCCTGGAACAGACCATGTGTGGACGTAGCCTTCATCCCAAGCTTAGCTTGGGCCTCAGGGCAACCATCTCGGTAGCCACAGAGCTGAGCAGGGCTCCGTGTCTACCGCCTGTCACCACCTGCTCCAAGTCTCTATCATTGTCACCTTGATATCTGCAACAGTGGCTTAACCTGCTCCTCCCTGGCCCTGCTCAGCACCTCTGGGCCACATGCAGACTTAACAATAGTCACACTGGCTTTTCTGGGAGGTGTTGCCTTGAATACACATACACAGAGTCTGAAATCTAAGTTTCCTACATGCTTTATCTCCAGCCTATCCTACGGGGGGGAGGGGGGGTTCTGCTCATCCCTCCAGCTGTCCCTCCAGTAGGAAGCTCTTCTGTCGTGACACACCCCATCTCCTTCAAGCACTTCACTTACACTGCACCGCCTCTCCAAACGCAAAGAATCACACTCTTCCTTCTCTTTGGCCCTGTTTTCAATGTTCTCGCTGCTCTCAACACCCCCCCCCCTTAAATTAGATTCTGCTGTTCTCTCACTTAAGAGCCTAATTTAGCTGTTTTCATAGTATTTGTGCCTCTTTAGGTTCCCTTACTGTAGCCGGGTTACCGATGAGGGTCCTTTCAGCTGGCCCGGGAGACCATGTTTCTCACCGCATACAGCAGAGATCAAAGGATCGAATAAATGCACTGCGTAGATGAACAGCAGCACAGCTCACGGGAGGTCACTGTGATGGGAGGCTCTGTTTGCTTTGGCTGCTTTCTGTAGGTTTGGGTGTCTCGGGCCAACATTCAGCCGTCAGGAGTTGGAGCCATGGTCACATGGCGAGGAGAGACCCAGAAGCGGGACACAGTGTCCAGGAACCTTCCCAAGTGGCAGCCCAGGACTGGTTTGTTAGAATCTTCCAGCTGCCCAGATGTGAGAATTACAGGCACCTCTCCAGGTAGGTAGATGGCTGTGAGCACCTCAGTTTCCCCATATCCTTCAAGGGGTTAATGATTTCCACCCGGAGAAGACAGACAAGCTAAAGCATGGAAGCCCCTATCACTTAGGAGGTGCTGAGTCCTAAGTATCCCGACGGTACCCGGGAGACCTGGAAAGGCAAGCGTGCAGCGCACGGAGGGAAACCGCCTCTCACCTGGCCGCCTCGCCTAGGCTCATCCTTCCGTGAGCTGAAATGACGTCGCCCAGCCAGACCCCGGATGCTCCGCACCCTCACCCTCCCTCCCACCTAGCCTCCCCGCCCCCTCCACCCCCTCCCTCGGAGCCCGAGCCCGGAATCCCACGCCCTCGCCTCAGCCCGGGGGCTCGGAGGAGCCCGGGAGCCGCTGGTCGCCAATCACCGCGCGGTGGAGAGGCGGGCGCTCAGCTGCGCGCTGGGGGAGCCAGCGGGCGCTGCTGCTGCCGGAGCCTCAGCCGTTCACACCGACCCAGACGGACGCACGGACTGGCGGGCAGGCGCGGACTCAGCCTCCCAGTCGTTTGCGCTGCAACCGCGGTCCGGGAAGCCCTCGCACCCCCGGAGCGCTGCAGGCGGCAGCTCCGCAGGCCAGCTCGCGGGGAGGGGAGCGGAGGCCATGTGAGCGGCGGCGGCTCCCACCTGGCGCCGCACCTGGGGCGCGCAGCTCCAGGCCCGCGGGGAGCATGCGCCCCGCCGCCCGCGGTCGCCGCGCCCGCACCTGACCATGGAGTGCGCCCTCCTGCTCGCGTGCGCCGTCCGGGCCTCGGGCTCCGGCCCTCCATGGGGCCCCGCGGGACCGCTGCGCTGGGCCAAGGCAGGTGGCACGGAGGGGCTCTCGAACGCGGGGTGTAGGGGCTACCCGCGCCCCCTCCGCGCTCCTGACGCGCGATATCGCCTTTCTCTTGCAGGCGCTCCAGCTGTGCTGCCTCTGTGGCGCCTGGGTCACCGCGGCCTTAGCCAGCGAAGGCAGTAGCGGCAGCAGCGGATTAAATGATGGTTCGTATTTGCTCCCTTCCCAGGCCCCCACCCCCAGAAGGGCCCTTTGGGGGCATATTTTGTTTCTCTTCTCAGTCATGCAAAGAGAAGAGAAAAGCGCAAGCCCTAACCTGGCAGGTGTGCGCTGGCTAGGAAATGACTCGCGTTTGGAAAGGAGGCAAAGGCAAGGACCGAGAATTGAGCAGAAAGCAACGCCTCGAGTGGCAACTCACATAAAAGAGAAGCGTTTTCCCTTCTTCACAAATGGCTTACTAGGAAATAATAATCGTAACTGCGGTGAGAAATTAGGAAGTGGACCCTGGCTAGGGAATTAATGACTGAAAAGCTCCCTCCCGCGTCTCCTTCCTCTCCTCTGGACCCTTCTCGCAGATACTGAGTCCTGGTGAGGTTTCAAGCCGTGTGAGCTCCTTCCTGCCCACCATTTTCATTTCCACGTTTGTTCCTTTTCTTCCTTTCCTTTCTCCTCCTCCCTACACCTGTGTTATAGGTGCCCAAAGACAGCTTTTCAGAGAGAGAAAAGCACCAGTTTAAGGTCCTAGAGTCCTTTTCCATGTGTTTGAGATTTCTCAGACACAAACTTCCAGAACATTCTTTATGCTGTCTGCTATCAACTTCCAAATAGTGGCCAGAATGGAAATCCTTCCTTCACTGTTTTCCACTAGCCAAAGAGGAACAGTTGGCTTCCGAGCCAAGCTGTCTAGCAAAGCGCTGCTGTCCAACCCAGATTTCTTGGGATTTTAAATTTTTCATTGTTGTAGGATTAACTCCCTGGGGTGGGGAGTGGCAAACTGAGATGAAGATGACTAAGACTAGAGGCACACAGAAATTAGCTCAAGAGAAATTTATCTTTTGTCCAATCAAAGGCTGCAGTTTGTATAACCATCCACTCCTTGTCTCTCGATGACCGAAGATCCCTTCTGTCCCAGCAACCACCTGTAGAGACCACATCTTCAGGGAAGAACAGAGGGCCCTGACTGCCTGAATGAAACAGATAGCCTGGTTGTGCTGCTCTTGGAAACAAATTAGTAGCAGGTGTCTTGGGGGTGGGGCTGGTTGGATAGGGCCCCTGTAAATCCAACTAAAAGCAGTCAGTTTTAGATGACTTTGGCCAATGGTATAGGAAACAAATTGCTGTGGAAGCTGTTTGTACCACAGGCAGAGATGGTTTTCATAGTGGTCTGCCTTTGGTGGTAGGAGGAAGTGGTATTTCTCTAAGACTTAGGAGACAATGTGTCAAAGGTTTTAAGGAAAAGTAAGATATATGTCCTGGTCAGTCTTTTAAGGTGAAGAGATGGGAATCCCCCCCCCCATTTCTGAAATATATGTATGTCAGTCATAGCATAACATTTCCAGTTAAAGAGCAGAAGCAAGGAAAAAATTGGAGAGGCAAAACCAAAAACCCTAAGAAGGAGAGAGCCACCCAGGCAATAAAAGTTGCAGATGGTGCCTATGCAGGAGGAAACAGTTGAAAGCAGTTGTCACATTGGCTTTTTACAACATGAGTCTAATTACAGTGTTGCTCACTGATTCCTGCTAGCTGCTTGTATTCTAGAAGATGATTTTTGGTTGTTGTTGTTGACTGTTAAGGGAAAATGGAAATTCCTCTTTTTATTTTCCCCCTGTGCTAGTAACCAGGGACCCAAGTGACTCAAACATGCCTCTTAGTTTTTCGGAATCTCTCTCAACAGTTTCCAAATTAGTTTCCCATTCTGTGCCTTGAAAGTAAAAACACAGAGCCATTTTCAGTGCTGGGGGGGGGTGGCATATTTCAAAGAGGTTGGGGAGGATAATGCTTTTCGGTTTCCATGTTTTGTGAAGGAAAACAGTGTATTGCCACCACTGCTTTTCCAAGCAGCAAATCGTTTTGCAGTTCCCCTTCTCTGCAACATGCAGCAATTAGTGCTGCTTGGGGGACCGAGGGCGCAGGTATTTTGCAACATGCCTTTCCAGGTGTCCCTTGATCTGCCCCGCCCCTCCAACGTGCCTGAACAGTTTTAAGCATCAGCCCATGGAAGGGTAGAAGATCTTTCTGACAATTTGGAGACATTTTTTCTGCACACGGAGTATTCCAGTCTTTGGATTAAACATGACCACCGCTGAGAAAGCTCAGAGTAAAATGTTAAGGGAGACGCAATGTCTGGGGTTTTATCATTGCATATAAACAATAATGGAAATATGAAGCTGCTGTTGCTTGTTAGTGTCCTTGGGGACCATCCGAAGTTACCCCTGTGAATTACTGACCATTTAAACTCTGCCCCCCAATATACTTCTAGTTCAGCCTTAACATAAAGTACTAATCCTCTTGAAAAAAAAATCCCATTTAGTTTTCTTTCAGACTTTATATAACTGTTTTCTCCCCAAATCCACTGCATGTGTTTTATTTATTTAGCTATGAATGGTTCCCAAGCTAAATATATAAAGAGCCCTCTTCATTCTCCAGAACTTGAGGGTTGTGTTGTGATCCTTCTGCAAACATCCCTCAAAGTTGATCAAAATTGTGCTTGGCTTTTGGTTTCATTGGGAATTAGAGTGGTGGAGCTAATTGTAGGGATAGCAGGTCGCCCTCCTCGTGAGCTGATCTGAGTTATGTCTACTCTAGTACTCAGGTGCCTGGTGATAGGAACAACTTTATCTGAGCTGTATGTCGCTCTTGGCCAGCTTGTTGGAAAGTGACCATCTGGCATGTTGGGCTCTGGGTGCTGACAACTCAACTTTTCCCATTGCAGATTACGTCTTTGTCACGCCAGTAGAAGTGGACTCGGGCGGGTCATATATCTCACACGACATTTTGCACAACGGCAGGAAAAAGCGCTCTGCGCAGAGTGCCGGGAGCTCCCTGCACTACCGATTTTCAGCATTTGGACAGGAACTACACTTAGAACTTAAGCCCTCGGCGATTTTGAGCAGTCACTTTATTGTCCAGGTACTTGGAAAAAATGGTGCTTCAGAGACTCGGGAACCTTCTGTGCGACGATGTTTCTATCAGGGATTTATCAGAAATGACAGCTCCTCTTCTGTGGCTGTGTCTACGTGTTCCGGCTTGGTAAGTGCACCCTAGTCTAGCCAAGCTTGGGCTTTTCTGTTTTGCATAACTTGAATGAACAGATGTCTGCAATATTAAGTCCTCTCCCAGCCAAGTCTACACATTCACACTGTCAGCTTTGATACTCATAATATTCTCAATTGAATTAATCTAATCTGCTCTCAGTAAAAAGGAAATATAATAGAACTTTAATGACCATGTAGAACATTCCTTTGATGTTTAATGGTCTGGGCCTTTTTAGTTCTTCATGTTTGAGACAATCCCCAAGGAAATTAATTTGATAGATGGCATTCACTTTATAAAGTCTTGGGAGACCAGGCATTTTATAAAACTAACAAGCTGCATGCATCTATGTTGCTTTCGAAGCAGGAAAACTGTATTTCAATGCAAAATGGCCTTAAGCAACCCTGGTAAGCCCAGCTTTCAACTTTACTGCAAAGAGATCTTTTGCTTTCCTTTAATGAACCTGTTGGTATTACCTTGCTTGCATGAGGCATCCTTTCAGGGTGTGCCATGGTTTGTTCTTGAGCTAACAGGCACATGTGTGGCATCCAGGGTGGCAGCACATTTAAAAGCATTGGGGACAAGTGTTATTTCCTGTCTGTGTAATCTTCAATGGGGAGCACCCAGCCAAGACTGTTGGTGTAAATGATACTTCTCTCAGGAGTCAATCAAATATATGAGGCAGTAAATGGTGTTCTGGGCTTTTGTTCTGCGTTACAAGTGAAAAAATCTTGCAGTGGCAGCAGAGCTTGTGTGGGAGCCACGTGGTGGCCATGCAGTGCGGTGGAGGTGTAAGAGAGCTGCGGAGGGCTGCAGTTGGCAATATGTGGTGTGCCTTGTGTCCTGAGCAAGAGGAGCTGTGTGGGTGGAGAGAGGGAGGACCCCCGCGCGCTCCACTAGCTGAAACTTGTACTTCTCTTGTAGCTGTTTCTCGTAGTGTGGCCCAAAATGCAGCTCAAGTCTTTCATTATAACCACGTTCATGGTATTTTTTTGATCTATTTAAAGTATAAAGTCAAAGCAATGGTTTAACATTTCCAACTAAGCTGGATACGTTTAAGTGAAAATGCTTACTTACGACCTGTGTAACATGGTTATACGCATGTGTGCACACGTGCATCACTCTGTCTTGGTGTTTTGTTTTGTTTGGCCCTGGCACATCTCCTGCTGTTTTGTAGCATTCTTGCATGTCTGTTCCAGTATTCTAAAGTCCTCACGGGTTGGACGCTGTAGTATAGCGTCGTAAACTGTCTCACCCCCATGTCCTCATGGTTAAGAGCAGTTTGGCCAGGCTCTAATTTTCACATCAGTACTTGTTGGATCTGGGACTAGTCACTGAAGCAAATACCTGAGTTGCGTTACCTCTAAGATGGGAATGGCAAGATGGCAAAACTGTGAGGCGTAACGCCCTCCGTGGGGTTTGGTGGAAGGGCTCCTGCCTGGCTCACTGCGATTTCCCACAAAATTTAACCTCCCATGATGAGTGCTGTCAAAACTCCACAGTAGGGCTGGCCAGATAGCTCAGCAGACTAAAGCACCTGCTTAGGCACAGCACAGTGGCCAGGGTTCAGTCCTCAGCCTGCCCTGATGGCCCTGCCCCTGGGGCGCACTGAATGAGACTGGGCATGGTGGCGCATGCCTGTAATCCCAGCGCTTGGGAGGCTGAAAACAGGAGGATCACTATGAGTCCAATCTACATAGTGAGATCCTGTAGACCCTGTGCTAAAATACAAAAAAAAAAAAAAAAAAAAAAAAAAAACAAACTCCAGAACAATGGGAAACATGATCAGCTGATGCAAGTTTTTGTCTTCTAAGATGGACATTTGAACAAGGAATATAGAAGAAGGAAGTTGGACACTTCCATCTTCCACAGGTGTGAAAGCAGGGATTGACAAGCAGAGCTGCCAGTGTCCAAGGCTGATATAAACTGCAGTCATGTGGCTCGGGTTGTTCAAACAAGCACATTCCTAGATTTACTCCTCCAGGTTTCAGTTTGTTCTCATGAAATGTGTGAATTGATTTCTAAGGTCGTTACCATGTCTAGGCATCTGACTCTGATTATCCAATTTATTGACACTGGCCGGGCTCATTTGGTAAGCAGTAGGGAGAGAATCAAGCTTATCATTTTCTGTCTACAACCCCACCAAACAGCTGAGGGACACACACGTCCATACTCATAGAACTGTAGGAAGCAAAACATAGGAAAAGAAAGAACTACAGCTTACTGTGATACTGCTTTGTATTAACCTTTCTAACCTTGTGTTGACATATGCTATGTATACACAAATGTGCTAAATACAAATACTGCAGAACAATGCAAAATCATTATAGTCCTGCGTAATTAATTTTCATCAATTTCATACCACTGTAAGCACCAACCCAACCAAACAGGGCATTATTAGTGTCCCCAGGAATATCTCTTTCCTGTTGTTTTCACTACCTGCCACTATCCCAACTTTAATGATTTCCTCATGCTAACCTCAAAACCTTACATAAGTCGCATTATAAAGTAATTTTGGGCATGAAGTTTCTACAGTGTTTCCCTCTTCTTTGTTGATTAACTATCACATTGTTTTCCGGTTTGAAGTGGTGATGAAAGCTACTGAGGAGCAACCATGCTTCTTTGTGAGCTTAGGGACATGTTCTGGTGGGTCTGTAAGAATGAAGTGGCTGAACTGTGGTGTATGCACAGCTTTAGTAGCTATTGCTGGTTCCCTTTTCAGAGGTGTTGCATTACCTTGACTTGTGTTGTCAGTGTGTGAGATTTCCAGCCCCACATTCTCATCAACACTTGATATTGTCTATCCTTTCCCTTGTAGGTATTCTATAGGTGTGAAGTGGTACCACATTCTAGGGTTAGTTTGTATTCTTCTGATGGTTAATGAAGCTGAGTATTTTCTATTGTATTCTTTGGCTTTCTGTACTCTTTTGTGATCTGTGTCATAAATGGACAAGAAATAATAGATATTTTCAGCCTAAATTGTGTTACACACTTTTTTCTCGGTGAAGTGAAACAAGAATGCTGAGCAAACCATTTTATTTATCTTCTTACGGTGATAAATCTTTTAAAAGTGTGTTTATTTGATTTTGAAATATGAGCAAATGAAAAAAGTGAATCCTGTGAGATCACTTGAGATACGACATTGGAAGGAAGGACATTGCATTAAGGACATTGACAGACTGAGGATGGAAGAGAAGCAGGAAGCATGTCAGGAGGAAAGACTTCACTCTTTTAGCTGCCCGTACACACTGCTTACCTTCCTTGGCCAAGCAGGGCCTCCGGAGGCCTCTAAAGTTAATTAGCAACAACAGTAATAGATTCCAAGCAGTGTAGGTGATGCAAGAGCTCAGGAAAGGGACTCGTGTCAGAGACTTGTTCCAGGGATGCATCAAAGTGGACTTGCCAGGAAGACATGACCAGTGTTCATTGTGCAGAGATGGACATGAGATAAGTGAGACATCTTGGCCCCACTGCTGGTGATTGACAGTGGGGCTGGAGCACCTCAGGAGGCCTTGCTACAGGATGGCGACCTCTCCGTGGGCATGGGGTGCTAGCAGGAAAGTACTGCATCCCTTCTACATGACTTGGCAGAGTACCTGGAGGAAAACTACCCATTATATTAACTGCCAGGGAAAGCCCAGAGTAGTGAAATGTATATACGGAGACGTACAGGCAAGCATGCATCCTGCGCACCACAGCTGTTATTTTTCCAGTAGAGAATTTGCCTTCATAACTCTGAATTAACTTCTGTTCAAAATATTTGTAATATTTTCTTAAAGTGCACCCTGCACCTCCCACTCGAAACAGGGAGACTCACTTCATTCAGGACTTGAGGAGGTTGAAATGATTCATAAAAGGAGAGTTGCAAGCTTATCCTTCCTTAGTTTTGTTTCTTCTTATACTGGTGGTGGCTGGCGACCGCTTTTTAAATTCCACGTGCCTTTTCTAGATCCCCACTGCCCTCTACACCTGGTGACCTCCAATCCTATGATGGGTTTGGATTTACCTCTTTTGTCCTAGTTTTATACAGTTTTAGATAAGCCTACGCAGGTCACTGCTGCCCCCTGTGTCCTTTCCACTATGCCTGGCCTCCCCTGACCACTGCAGCGATGGAAAGGCCCATGTAGCCAGCAAACTCATGCCAGAGGGGAAAACAAATGTGTATCTTTCTTTTGGTGTACTAGGAGATCCAAGAGAGCGTTCTTCTCTAAAATACTCTATGTTAGTGATCTTTTTACTTAGGACAGCAGTTTTCAGAGTGAGATCAACTCCATTCCCTTCATTCAAGGCATTGAATATATCAATTCCTTTGCTTCCTTTCCACTGAAGCTTAGGGAGGCCAGTTCCAGAACTGGGCATTTTCATTCTGCATGCGATTCTGATGCATGTAACATCAGAGGACCACGTAGGTGAAGTGCATGTCATTTCGGAAGTTACTGAAAAGACACGCTGAATTATCCTCCTTCCCTCTGGCCACTGTTTATCTGCCTCTGTGGTATCAGATACTGTTCGGAGCACAGTGGACAAAACTACAAATGCAGTGGCTGCTGGAACCAGTCCCAGACTTACATGGAGTCTAGAAGATGACCTGGGGCAGTTAGACCTGCACCTGACCGTTTTCCTGTGAATAAAGTCGGGGCTGCACAGAACTGAGGAACAAAGAGTATGTACAGTGTGGTTTTGGAAATGGTGGAGCTGGGGATATAGCTCAGTGGCACAGTGTCTGCCTGGCAAGCTTGAGGTGGCAGAGTTAGGGACAAAATGCCACCTTTCAGCTGTGTACCACACATATTAGCATATTAGTCAGAAAGGTCCTACAGTCGTGACATTTGCTTAACTCTGTGTCACCCTAGACTTTCCTTGGCTTATCCCATCATGTGAAAAAATGCTTTTCTTTTTTTAGCATTTCTTCACAGTTTGATAACAGGAAAAGCCCCAAAGTAATGATTTTCCCCAAAGATGTAGTATTGTGTATTGTTTTCTTTATGTACCCAAGA